TGATTCTAATTCTTGGACCTTTGCCAAAGCATTGGGCAAATCTGGTGGATTTAATGAGAAAAGAGTTTCTGAAATAGATCCATTAAGTCCGAATATAAATACTCGTAGAGCATTTCCCCTTATTGAATCGTTTGTTTCATTGGTAATTACACTGTCCTTTCCGTATGTCAATATGGTTTTGTTTATTAGTAAGGTCATTTTTTTATTGACTTCGTTATAGTACTCAGTAATTGTCATTCGTCCTTGCCTGAGAATACCTAGTTCTGACTCGAGAACATGTATTGGTCGTTTGTCATTATATATAAAGTCCAATCGGGATAAGATTGCTTCAAAGTTTAAAACTGTGCCATGATTGGTAAGAGCATCATGGGCAGCTCCCATAATTTTATTTCGTAAAATTGTTAGGGCGATAAAATATTGTTCACTTTCAATTTTATAGAGACTCATTACAGTTTCTGCAGCTTCCCTCCAACCTACATATTGTGTTGGTTCCCCTGTGAAATTTGGTAAGGATTTTACCACTTCAAGTGTTGTATCGCATTTTATAGCTGGGTCAATTGTTTGTAATTTATAATCTTCCACAGTTTTTGCACCTGTGGCTAGCCTTCTTTCTAAACATTCTACTTTCCTGCTAACTTCATTCAATTGAGCGTTTATTAATCTGTTTATCAATTCTACTGTTAAACCGCCGGCTGTGGCTACACTGCCTGCAGAAAAATTTGGTGCTGAACCTCCTGTTGCCATTGTTATATCAAATCTTCCAGATTTATTCTATATATTATTTGTTAAATCGCGAATCGCTTTTTGCAATATATAAATCTTATATTGTTTTTCTTAAATTCACTGATCTTAAATTATAGTCTTTAATTTTTTTATTATTTTAAATTAATTTCTCACGATATTGTCCCGTTGGGGTCTTCCTTCTGTGTGGTTGGTGGTTGATCGTCCTTCCTGGGTACAGTTGATTAATGGATAGAGAATGTCCTGTCTTACTTCCTTGGTTTTTCTTGTTGAAGCGAGTTGTCGTTTTTATTTGAGAATGTCCTGCCTTCCTTCCTTGGTTTTTCTAGTTGGAGTTGTCGTTTTATTTTTTTTTTTGTTGTTCTTATTTGGTATTTTTTTTTTGTTTTGTGCGTTGATTTTTTTAGTTTTGTGTTCTTGTAACTGTTTGGTTTAAAATTTCGGTCCACCTTTGTTTTAATTCACTCTTTATGGATTATTTTATTAATTGATTTCCATTTACTTGTTTGTTAACGATCCCACGTTGGGCGCCAGTTAAATTTTTTGTAGCTCGGTGAATTAAAAAAATGTAAATTTTATTTTATGGTTATACAACTTGGTGTTTATTTATTGGTGCTTATAACCTTTATTTATTAAACTTAATTATTACAAGACACTTTTGATTTTTCTTAAATATTTTTTGTCAACCATTCGCGGTCTCGGTCAAAAAGGGACTGGCTTCTTAATTCTAAATCTGATGCAAAGAACCTCGGCCATCAGTTGTGTTTAGGTTAGAGGCTTAAGATAAAAATGTCACATCTTATTGGGAAATTCGATTAAGCCGATCGATGCAATTTGGTGGGTACTTGAAACGCAAAAGGCGTAATTGATTGGGCTTCGGAGGGAAGATGATGCTTACTTTTGATTTTGATTTGTTTATGGGGAACCGAGATCGGACCTCAGAGCCAAAGACAAAGCCGAAAGCAAATGCAGAGTTTGAAAATATTGTTTATAAAATTCATAAGTGGAAAACCATAAGTGGCCTGGATTTATGGGTTGGATAATTGAGCCAAAGACAAAGCCAAAGGCAAATGCAGAGATTGAAAATATTGCTTATAAAAGCCATAAGTGGCCTGTATTTACGGGTTGGATAACTTACATATATTCTTGATCAGGATCACCTCCTGAGTTGATATAATCATGTCCGTCTATCTTTTTTTTATCTCATCTGTCTGTTTCTACGCAAACTAGTTTCTTAGTTTTAAAGCTAAAGAAATAAACTTAGCACACACTCAGTATTCCTTTGTACGCTGTATATAAATCAGAATAGCCGGGATCGGTCGACTATATTCTATGGGTGCCATTTCGGGAATATCACCAACATCCAACTTACCAAATTTCATAAGAATCAACCGTCTATATCCTATCTTACAACTAAAGCTGGTATTTGGTAAAAATATTCATTTTGAAACATTTCAATATAAACTCTAAAAAGTGCGAAAGTTTCTGGATGTAATGGGTGTTTTGACATACACTTGAGGTCACCCAACAAAATCCGATGTTTTTGATATATATCCGGTTTTAACTGCAAGGGTATATCAACTTCGGCTCCGCCCGAAGTTATCTTTCCTTTCTTGTTTTCAAAATAATATTGCACTATTTGCATGCGTTGAGTCTATGCATGATAAGCTGCCAAAGCAAACCTAAATAAAAACACTTGACAGCTATTAAATCGGTCGTCATGAACATTAATATCAACTTAATTTATAAATTATAAAAACCAACCAGGCAGCAGCAACATTGACGCTGCCCTGGAACCACACCACGTTCTTACAGATCAACTCTGGGCCTGGTTTCCTGGCCAGGACCTCGAAACGTTTTGTCCCTAGGGCGCAAAATCCACTTTTACAGAGGTATGCCACCTGCCATCAGGGTTGCCTCGGTCAACCACTCCTAAGAGTAGCCCTAAGCTAGGCATCCTCGGAGTCATCTCAAAGCTGACAAATTGGATCTATAATATTTTCCCCTTCTCCTTTACCCTGTGCCAGGAATACAAGATCCTGTTCTACAATTACGTTCTTTAGCCAATTTAGACATATGACCCAGATCTGGGGCGAGAAGCAGCCACATAGATATCATACGCGCCCAATCAACCATTTTTCAAACTCTTTATGGTATTTTCACAACGAAAACTTAATTCAATAAGTGGTAACAGAATTTCATAGGCATATGCAAGTCGCCAAAAATAGTTAAAAAACCATACGATTCCGCAGTTTAATAGACAATATTTTCTGCAGAATCTATTGTCATCAACATTGTGAGAAGTAAGGAAACATTGTTTGGGTAGTGAAGACAATTCCGACACACATTGACAAATTTTTAACCAATGGTGATTGTGATCGTGTTGGAGGTAAAAACTTATGAGGTGATGCACAATATTTGATTAGTGAAAGTATCCAACTAGACCAGTTAAAACCTCTATTACATGTGCCTGGAAATTTTTCTGCCTGCCCTCTGCCTGCTCACCTACACTGTAGAATGACCGTAACCTTTTGTACGTAAGAATTCTACGTATTCGAACAAAATTGAAAATATAACGCAAATCTAATGTATTTCTATCAGAGATTGGCAATAACTGTTTACCGTTTTTTTTACATTTTGTTTTACCTCGGAACTTTACCGAAAAAACAAAGTATGCTCTCTTACAAAGTAAGAGAGAAAACTTTCTTGATTTGAAATATCCCTCACCGAGATCCTCTTTAAGATGTCCGACTTTTCTCAGAGAGTTATCGGTCCGTCTTTCCGTCTGTCTGTTTCTACGCAAACTAGTCTCCCTCCAGTAAAATCTATCGCTTTGAAACATAAAACACACCCTGCTTCGGGTCCGGGATCGTCTGACTATATTCCATAGCTGCCATATAACTGATGGATCGGAAATGCTATAACTTTGGCTATTTTCAAAGTTAGAGAGTTCGTTTGGTAAAAATACTTTTACCAAAATCGTTTCGTAAAAAATAAAACTTTAATATACAACCCTAGTCAAAATTATTTTCACAACACACAATTATTTGCACATCCCAACTTCTTTTAGTTGTTATTCTTGTTGTTGTTGAACAATTTCACTGAAATAAATGTTATAGCGTAGCTTGATCTATGCTTAAGCGACACAAAAAGAAATGCGAAACCTAGCTGTTCATAGGACAAAGCTAAAAGAAAAAAAGCTTATCAGTTGTCAGAAGTTTTGGAGTATATTCACTGCAGTATATTCAGAAGTTTTCGGTGCGTCAAAATTATTATAATTATTGTATTTGAAGATCTGAGCTTGGGACTTTTTTTAAATTATGTTCATAACTGTTATGTTATGTTCATCAATGCTCATAACGATTTATGTCCGATCATAACTGCAAGGGTACATATATTAAGGGTACATATATTAAGGGTACATCCGCCTGAAGTTAGCTTTCCTTTATGGTTTTTATTACCAAATTCGGGGCTATCAAAAACGCTTGATCTCAACGTCCTGATTGGTGTTCTTAAATAATTCGGCATGTTTCGCTATTAATATTGATTCGTTAAGATTTTACGTTGGTTTCATGGAAGCCATCTAACTTTAATCCACAATCATTACATATGGATTTTTTATCATTTCATTTGAAAAATTAATGTACTTTTTTATTAGGCACGACCCTAATATGTAGGTAGGGTAGTCCCCACTTATTAGTGTAAAGTCTGCATGGAAGAAAGGGTATAGACAAGAGTCCACAAAATCCAGTCTTTCATTCATTGGTGTCAGTAGAACCCAAGGGTCGGCCGACTCCTAAAGCTTTCCTTTCCAACTTCTCCATTGCTATCTAACACGATTTCCGGGATGTACATGTACATTTCAATAGAGCCAAGCCATCCCCAAGTAGACAGAAGAGGTGCACAGTAACCATCCGTGCAGTATTAGGGAAACTGTACTGCACATTATCGTAAGACCAAAAGTATTGGGTCGGAAATGTCTCCTCCACCGCTTTGTACACTTTTGATCAAAATTAACATACCCTCTTGAGAGCTAAGAGAGCTTTTTCGAACAAGCCACAAAATGTTTAGGTACCGTATTTGAAATTCTTCTAACATTGTGCCATTCTTTAAATTACGATTATATTCAATATTGCTGCTTAACGTTATTAAATTGGTTATATACTACTTCTTCTTATATTTTTTTTAAGCCATAAACTTCTTCATTTCTTGTTATTAAAAAAAAAAATATGTTTATAATACCAGGAAATATTTTTTAGGGATTTTCCTGCGTAGATTTAATGAACGCTGGTATGAGACAATCCGGAGTGTTTTATCTACAAATTCGTGGAACAACATATTGGTTCCTAAAAGTGTACTGCGAGCAGGAAATATCCGAAGGAGGCTGGACGGTAAGTTATTGGTAATGATTACAAGGATCAAATAAATAAACATTTTTTAGGTTATACAACGCCGAAATGACTTTGGAGAGCCTCGGGAAAATTTTAATAGAGATTGGGCCGATTACAAAAATGGATTTGGAGAACCAGCTAAGGAGTTTTGGTTAGGTAACGAAAATATTTATATGCTTACCAACAACGAAGACTACACTTTGCGTATAGAGCTGGAGGATTTTGATGGAAATAAAAAGTAAGTTGTTTAAAATAAATTTTTTCTGACCCCTAGCAGTGCAGTTATATAAATAAGAATATAATTAATTACATTAATTACATACAAAAAAAAAATATTATTATGTATTATGATTACAATCCCATATCTTTGAAATTTTTGTTGTTTTTGGAGAGATAGTGAAACTTTGTAGTAACGGACAGTAAAGTCCGTAAGTTTTGCAGCGCCAAGGAATTGAATTCAACTATGCCCAAGTTCCACCTGTAGTCCGACTCTCAACCTACCTTGACCCTCATTATCTATAATGGCAGTATAGATGAAGTCTAATGCGTCATTTGGTATGGTTTGCCTGTAATTCCTGCTAATGGTTTGCCTGCCTGTAATGTATCCGTCACCTTCGCAACTAGTAAGGGGGCTAGTAAGCCTCTCCGTTGTCCATGTGCGCAGCTGTGCGATGTTTTCTTTGCCTAGAGTTTGAAGAAAACCTTCATACGCAGCCATGCCTCTAGCACTTTACCTCTTCTAAAAATTGTTGTAAAGATTTTTCCGATCTTGAGCGTTAGATTAGATCCGGGCTTGGGTATTTGGGCCGGGATGATGCCATTTAAGCCTGGAAATTTAAAGGGTGATCGGTGATTTAAAAAGGAGCGTTTCTCTAAGACTCTCCAAATAACGATAGCGTCTGCTAGCGAGTCTGAGAAGAGAGTATTATCAAGAACTTCTCTTCTGTTTTTGATGATGAAAGTGTTCTCTGAGCCTTTATTACCCACCAAAAGTTTAGAGTTGAGGATAAAATCGACCATCACCTTATAATATTGTGATGGCACAATATTATAAGGTCGATCTTCAGCATCTTCTTGTCATCCACCAGCTGCCTAAGCACCGTGTGCGAAGAATCACGCCGAGAATGCAGGCTCGCCTTATGATCCATGGGTTCCTGGATGTGGGGATTGTCAGATAAATCTGGAGAATTGTCAGATACATCCTGCAGATTCTACACCACAGCCCTTGCCAAGTCGCTTTTCCAGAATGTCCTCTTTTGGGGGCCCCTCTTCGGTTGGGTCTTCCAATTCTAGCTCTTAGACGTCTGCCTCCCTTAAATTCTATTTTCTGAACTCCAGCCTTGCTCTTCGCATCCGACTCATAGATCCTGACCATCACGTGCTCAAAACTGTACTGGGCCATACGGCATCCTCGTTCAAGGTGGGTACCACCTGCCTCAGTAGCCCCACCGCGTTTTCCACCTTGGCCATCCATTCTACCCACATCTGGGAGAATGGGAGTGTCGGGCTGGACATCTACAATACAGGATAGTGCTAGGGTCAGACAACGCACCCTGACACGCTATAACCTTGATGGTCCCTGATACCAGCCGGGGTTTTGGCGTTCCAGTGGTAGTCCTCAGCTCCGCAACGACTCCTCCATAAAACGCCTGTGCAGCTTGTTAACAGCTTTGCGCCAGAGATCCTTGGGTATCGGACTAACCCAAGGATCCCTATCGGATCCCTTGTCGGGAAAGATTTCTTTTGCCCATGATTATCGTCGCTTGGTGTGGGGTAAAGTTAATAACTTTTCGATAAACAACTTTTTCACTGTTTATGTTGAGAGGTTCACTGTTTATGTTGACTAGTCCACCCTTTCATGACCTATAATTTTATTAAATTAAACCTCTAATCCCTTTGCAAAAGCTCCTTCAACGGCTTTACCATCATCATTGAGGGCAAATGGATTTCCACTTGTTCAATTAATGCTTAAAATGTAAAGAAAAATAAGTTAAAAGAATAAGTTTTGTCTAAAATTAAGGTTCCTAAAATGCCTTTCATTTAATATTCAGTAACATTAATCAGTATATTTAAATATTAAATGTATACTGTTTAAATATTAAATGTAAAAAAATCAATAAATTTAAAAGAATCGAAGAAAGGAATAAATAGAACCAATAAAAATTAAAATTAAAAGAAATTTTCCTCCCTGTAATTACTGCTTCTTTCATTCGTAAAATTTCATTCGTGAAATTTCACTGTGAGAATTAATCAATAAATTAATCATCATAACAATTGTGAATAGATTAATTCGCCTCAAACTCCAAGACAGTTGTCAGGGGCGTGCTAAGCCAGGGAAGGGGAACTTAAGAGGCTCAGACAAACAAGAAGGGTATAAGAAGTGTCAGGCGTCATTAAACGTAACGGACTTGTAGGGGCTGCAAAGTCGTGCTTAGAAATTGCGGTGGGAAATAAACGACGCGTAAAGGAGGTTAGGCCGTGGGTGGGAGTGGGCGTAACAAAATGTTGATATTCCTACAGGAAGTATAGGTTTTTTGAAAAACTTGATGCTAAACGGATTTAAAGAGTTGATCACAGGTTTTCGAAAAAAACAATAGCCTACTCATTGCTCTTGACACTGTTAAAGAGCATATTCAGCTGTTCATACTGTTCAGCTGTTAAATGAGTCTCCTAAGCGTAGGAAGTCCGTTGTTTATGATGCGCCTCAGGCTGCTCAGCCGGCAATAACGCAGTCGCTCATATCTCTGGCCACCCCAAAGGCTAAACCAGAGAAAAATTCGCCGTCTGAATTTCTCGATGCAAATGAGCAATTGTCCCCTCCAATTGAATAAGGCACCCAACAGGGTATTCCACAGTTCGGACCACCAGTACACAGTGGTCCGGCTTGTATGAAGAGAGCGGCCAAAAATACTTCTAGTTGAGGTAGGGACTGGAAACTTTGCACAAAATATTTATATTTTTATTCTAAAATAATATGTTAAAATCAGCCAGATCGGGCAACTATATCATATAGCTGCCATATAACTGATTGATCGAAAATTCTATAACTTTGGTGTTTTTACAGTTAAAGTTTTTGTACGAAAGCTATACTTGACAAAATAATACGACCTAATAAATTTCATAAGGATCAGCCGACTATATCCTATAGCTGCCATATAACTGAAAAAACGGAAATTACCCAACTTTCATGTTTTTGAAAATAGAAAGTTGGAGCTTCGTACGGATTCTATTTTTGGATTCTATCAGTTGATCCGACCTACCAAATCTCATAACAATCGGCCGACTATATCTTATAGCTGCAATATAACTGAATGATATAACCATATAACCAGCGTGCTGATTCCCTTTTCGCCGCACCATAAATTAAAAATATAAGATTGTGGAAACACACCCATATAAGAAGAACCTCTTAAATTTTAATGCAAGGGAATATCAAACAAAATAAAAACTATTAGTAAATGAACAAATAGTTTTGGAAAGGTAAACACAATCATGACACACGAAGACAGAGCAACAGCATAACAAGTAAATATACGCAAAAGTGACCCTGAAACAGTTAAGATGGTGTTAGTATTTTTACGATATTAGTACAAAAATTTTTTGCACATTTGTTACTCTTGGAGACCGACAAACACATTGGTATATAAACGAATTGTAGAATTTTGGGGGATCACTACTAAAACTTCAGCTAAACATGAAAAAGACGTTCAAAATATACGAAAAAAACATTTATTAGTTCACAATAATATAATAATAACAATAATTATTATTAATATATCAAATTATATACCTTAATATATCATAGAAAATACGTTCAACTTCAAAATCCATTACAAATAATTTGAATTTGAACACGTAAATAATGATCTGATCACTTCAAAGTTCGGTTTAGTTGTGAAATATTCGTGATGCACGCAGCCGCGCTTTACAAATGAGCAACTGTTCACATCTTCAAATCAATTTTTAGAAAATCCCGTTAGATTTTTAGAAAAATCGGGTTTGCCATGAAGAAGCTTGGACATTTTAGAGGCGATTTGTTTACTTTTCGTACATTTTTGCCGTTATCAATTTTTTTATTTTTGGCCTATGGGAGGAACCACTGTGCAGTACCGACTGATGCTTCAAAGCCCCTAAGAGTGATAGCTTAATCGAAACTTAATATAAATATAAATATAAGGTGCACGTTTGATTTATGTATTTAGTTTTTAGCCAGAGAACATTTTTTTCAAAGAAAATCAGCCTAGTGCCGTAAATAATAAAAAAGTTGTAAAACCAGTAGGTGTGAAACTTCCTAAAAAACTTCTTAAAACCACAGCCCAACTTTCCACATCTTCGTTTACAAATTTAAAAACTAATATCGTTACTAACGCCGTAGCAAACTATATTCTGAGTTATTGCTGTTCATAATTAACTCCTTCTTCTTAACCGCCCACATACTGGCTTTACTTGTCCGCTATTCAATCTGTTTTTAATCTTATGTCCGATTGTGACCAGCTGGTAGCTCTGGGTGACTATAATATCCTAGAACTTAAGTGGTCTAATGTCGATAAATCTTTGTGACTTATCACTTCACCGCTGGAGTTCAAGTTAACCATGTTGGAAATTTTTTAGGCCGGCTATTTGACTTATGTTTTGTATCTGATTCTGATGGTACCATTCTACCCAGAGCTTTGCCCCTTTCAACCCCAGAGGATCCACATCACCCCACGTTTGAGATTTCATATATTTGTTTCTCGGCGTGCCCCTGATACTTCAGAAAATGATATCTCGGCTTATATCAAAACCAAAACTAAAGCCGATATAAGGATGGAGGACATAGCTAAATTTAAGTTGAATTATGTAAGGCGCACGTCTTCTTTCAAGATTGCAAGTGCCTGCGCTAATGTTCAAGCCGATTTGTTCACACAGTTTTTGGCCAGAGAGCATTTTCGTCCAAGAACATCAGTCAAGTTCCGTGAAGAAAAAAGTTTTAAAACCAGTGGGTGTTAAACTTCCCCACATTAGAACCACGGACCAACCTTCCACCTCTTCTTCGTCCACTAACCCAAAAAACTAATATCGTCACTAACACTTAACTTTCAGAATACTTTGAATCTTTAGCTCCGAAGTTTTTCCAAGTAAGTGCACCACTTTTAGACTGGATCTACCTCAGCAAAGGGGCGGTTGAGTCCTCATTTCAGTAGACTCCACTCTTGCTTCTGAAGAGGTGAAATCACAAGAGTTTGGTGACATAGAAAA